TATTATCCGTTCATCCTATTTCGACTCTTCAAAATTCAAGAGTCTATCCTAAATTGAGGTAAATTATATGGCCTTCCAAATACCGTTTCGATTCCTAACATCACTGAAGAGGCATTAATTGTCGAAATCCGGATATGGTGTACTAATTTTTGCACCTTTTGTTTGCGGTATACCATCTTTTCCGCAAGTTTATTGTTTTCAGTTTGGTATTAAATTAATAGTTAAGATCCATTTTGTTACATCTGGTGATCCGTTTATTTGGCAATCGCCAATGGCAGTCAGCAGGGTTTCAAAACATCCGTTGTTCGACCTGCTAGTCAAATGCGTTTTGTTAAAATATACTGTTTCACTTTTTTGGTCTTTTGGAAAATGTTGTTTGTGCTGTATTTAGACCCCTCTACCAAGAAATTTGTTTTGCATGCACACGTATTAAAATTGCGGTTTTTATCCAACACAATCATAGGTTTGAACGTTGTTTTCAATTTAGACTTATCTAGCAATAATATATAGCAATATAACAAGTCTAAAAGGGTACAACATCACCAAAAAATAATTAAATCATGAACAAATTTTAGATATTTCGGATAACTAATATCCTTCATCAGTAAGATGTAAACTGAATCTTATCTTGACATGTGGTAGTCAAACTGAAATAAAAATCTTGAATGCTATACAAATTATCAATAATCAATACGCTGGTAATTTTTTTCAATATTGATGTTTGGTAGGAGGAATAAATTTCTTAAAACTGTAAGAGTCCAAAACGGAAGCCTGAGTAACTGGAAACAAGTGATGGTAGGGAAAATGAGTGACAAATTCTATGTTTTTTCATTTATGCCCTCTGGGGAAACTGTCCTAAGCTTTCTTATCCAAAACCTTTCCCGAGCAAGTCTGTCGGCCCTTGACCAACCCTCGTTGTGGTCTATGATAGTGATGGAAAGGTTTTTGAGATCAGCTTGGGCGTTCCCAGGTGATCTCAAATGACGACTTACGGGGAGGTCGGGCTTGCAGGTGTAGTCACTTTGATGACCATTTATGCGTTTGTTGAATGGCTGTTCTGTCTCGCCAACATATTGCATGCTACATCGACACTGAAAAAGGTATACAACATTCTTGGTTTTGCAAGTTACATTGCAAAATATAGTGTAGAACTTGCAAAACCCAGAATGTTGTATACCTTCTTCAGTGTCGATGTGGCATGCAGTATGTTGGCGAGACAGAACAGCCATTCAACAAACGCATGAATGGTCATCGAAGTGACTACACCTGCAAGCCCGACCTCCGCATAAGTCGTCATTTGAGATCACCTTTGCACGCCCAAGCCGATCTCAAAAACCTTACCATCACTATCATAGACCACAACGAGGGTTGGTCAAGGGTCGACAGACTTGCTCGGGAAAGGTTTTGGATAAGAAAGCTTAGGACAGTTTCCCCAGAGGGCATAAATGAAAAACATAGAATTTTCACTCATTTTCCCTACCATCACTTGTTTCCAGTTACTCAGGCTTCCGTTTTGGACTCTTACAGTTTTAAGAAATTTATTCCTCCTACCAAACATCAATATTGAAAAAAATTACCAGCGTATTGATTATTGATAATTTGTATAGCATTCAAGATTTTTATTTCAGTTTGACTACCACATGTCAAGATAAGATTCATTTTACATCTTACTGATGAAGGATATCAGTTATCCGAAATATCTAAAATTTGTTCATGATTTAATTATTTTTTGGTGATGTTGTACCCTTTTAGACTTGTTATATATTATATTTTGTAGTGTACTGTATCATAATTTCATGATCCATCGCCCCGTAAGATTTATCGTTGGCTATTATTCAGTCATTTTATATATATATCGCCAATGGCAGTCAGCAGGGTTTAAGAACATCCGTTGTTCGACCTGTTAGTAAAATGCGTTTTGTTTAAATATACTTTTTCACTTTTTTGGTCTTTTTGGAAAATGTTGTTTGTGCTGTAGTTAGACCCCTCTACCAAGAAATTTGTTTTGCATGCACACGTATGAAAAAATGCGGTTTTTATCCAACGCAATCATACTCATAGGTTTGAACGTTGTTTTCAATGTAGACTTATTTATATTTTTTCGTTTGGGCTTGTATTATATTTGCCTTCGGGTTTATATGATCCGTTCATCCTATTTCGACGCTTCAAAATTCAAGAGTCTATCCTAAATTGACGTAAATTATATGGCCTACCAAATACCGTTTCGATTTCTAACATCACTGAAGAGACATTAATTGTCGAAATCCGGATATGGTGTACAAATATTTGCACCTCATGTTTGCGGTATACCATTTTTTCCGCAAGTTTATTGTTTTCTGTTTGGTATCAAATTAATAATAAAGATCCATTTTGTTACATCTTGTGATCCGTTTATTTGGCAATCGCCAATGCCAGTCAGCAGGGTTTCAGAACATCCGTTGTTCGACCTGTTAGTCAAATGCGTTTTGTTTAAATATACTTTTTCACTTTTTTGGTCTTTTTGGAAAATGTTGTTTGTACTGTATTTAGACACCTCTACCAAGAAATTTGTTTTGCATGCACACGTATAAAAATTGCAGTTTTTATCCAACGCAATCATAGGTTTGAACGTTGTTTTCAATTTAGACTTATTTATATTTTTTCGTTTGGGCTTGTATTATATTTGCATTCGGGTTTATATGGTCCGTTCATCCTATTTCGACTCTTCAAAATTCAAGAGTCTATCCTAAATTGAGGTAATTAATATGGCCTTCCAAATACCGTTTCGATTCCTAACATCACTGAAGAGACATTAATTGTCGAAATCCGGATATGGTGTACAAATTTTTGCACCTCATGTTTGCGGTATACCATCTTTTCCGCGAGTTTATTGTTAATATAATAATAATAAAGATAAAATTGAGAATGGAAACTAACGGCCTGATTTATTTACAAAATAATGAACGAAAAACAAATATGATATACAGCAATAAACGACAACCTCTGAATTACAGGCTCCTGACGTGGGACATGCACATACAGAATGTGGCGGGGTAAAACTAGTTTGTTGGCGCCAAACCCTCCCCCTAACCTGGGACAGTGGTGTAACAGTACAACATAAGAACAAACTATAAATATTCATAAGGGGTTCCGCGGAACCCTGTGTCTCGCCTGCGATTGCTGCTGTCAGTGTTAAAGTGTAATGTTGACTTAAAAAGTGAGTCCATTTATTAGTTAAATACAGAATTTCAAAAAAATCAAACTTTTTCTTTAGATGCTATTTTTTTGTCTTGAGGATGAGCTTCTGTACAAGTTTCATAACAATCCACGAAGGTTTACAAATTTATCATGTAAAAATTTTTTTTTTTAGCCCAGACTGTCTTTAAATGTTAACTGTAAAAAATGAAGTCCATCTATCAGAAAAATAGTTAAAACGAAAAAAATATATTTTCAAAGGTTTGCTCCAGACATTATCTCTTAATCATTAAAAAGCTACTGCCAAAGTTTCATAAAACTCTAGGAAGGTTTGACAAAGTAGTTGACGTGTGTCACACTTTAACCCCAGACTATATCTACTTGTTAACTGTAAAAAAAAAAAAAAAAAAAAACTAAGTCCATTTATCAGTAAAATACGGAAAAACGCAAAATAAATATTTCCAAAATTTTGCCCTGTATACTGTCTTTTGGTCATAAACAAGCTTCTGTCCAAATTTTATAAAATTCCATGAAGGTTTGACAAAGATATTGATGACTGAAAAACTTTAACCTCAGACAAAATCTGAAGTTAACTGTAAAAAAAACTAACTCCATTTATTAGTAAAATACGGAAAAATGAAAATAAATATTTCAAAATTTTGCCCTGGATACTGTATTTTGGTCATAAACATGCTTCCCAATTTCATAAAATTCCATGTGTGTTTGACAAAGTTATTGCTGTCCAAAAAAACTTTAACAACAGACAGAACCTAAATGTTGACGCCGCCGACGCCGACGATGGAATCTAGGATCGCTATGTTTCGCTTTTGCAAAATAAATTTCGCAAGCTCGACAAAAATCAGTTGAAAAGGGCTTGTCTCATCAGATAGATACAAAGTAGAAATACATCTAACAAAAACACAGAGTGGACGTGGCAGCCCCACAACAACAAAAAACACTAAATACAGGTACGAGAGTATTCGCAGTTACGGACAGCTAGTTCAAAGCCAATAACAACTAATAAAAAAAATCATGCATCTAACATTAAAATATCAATCAGTACACATCCAACATCGAATGGATTTAGTGTAAAGACGTCGTTAACAGTCAGAGAAAAACATGACCTTGTGCAATGCCAAGATACAGGCAGGTATCGACAGATTGTAGAGCCATGAATGTGCATATGTATATAAAAAATAATATTTAGTTTGATTTTAATCTACTGATAACAAAATCAATATCAATACCAATAAAAACAATATTCAAAGATCTTATTATAGTGTTGAATTGGTAACCTTTTAGAATAAGTTGATTTAAAGGATCGATAAATTTACCCGGATCGTATCTAAATTTCCGGGCTCGGTAAACAACATCTCCGTAAAAATTCGGATGTGTTATCCCGTTTGAAATAAGTTTTCTACAGGTACAACCAAACTTCCAAACCAAATCTTATATCTATGGAAGAATTTAGTAAAGGTTTTAAGTAATTTGCGGTAACGAAATCCCGGAGTTAATAATTTACCAGTAATACATAGGTTACGTTCATTGAAATTCAAAACGTCACAACAGACACGGGCATAGCGAACGAGTTGTGATATATAAACACCGTAAGTTGGTGCCAAACGAACATCATCTTCGAAAAAAGGAAAATTAACAATAGGGAACCGAAAATCGTCCCGTAGTGTAGTTTTTCCCGTGTAAAACTGAAATATATAAATCTAAGAAAGGACAGTTATTGCCATTTATATAATGTGGTTTCAAGTCTCGGGGTATAAATGTGCATTTCTTTAAAAAAATAAAATAAATAAATATAACCTGTATTGCAGGGTTGTCAAACACAAAAGATGCAGTATGGAGATGAAATAGATAATGACTGCGATGGTGAAATCGATGAAGAAGAATGTGATAGAAAAGGTTCATATTATTTTGATGGTCAAGCTATGGTTTAATATGATAGCAATATTCATTATTGTTTGTATAACCCCGTGAATTTCGGTACGGGTTACATTAAAGTCTGTAGGTCTATAATCGACTCTGTGGCTGCTTTAAACGCAAGACCGTATACAATATATACAAATTTATTCACAGGTGTACAGCTTGAGAGCTAGGGGAAGACTGCCCAAGCAACAGTTTATAAAACATACAACAATTCATTGATCCCAAGTTAAGGATCTTAAAAACATTATAAAAGGTTCTCATAAAATATATCTATCATGATTGTCTAATCTTATGTAATCATAAACGGATTATTGTCCTCCGGCTAAACTTAAGAAAATAGCGATAATTGCTTCTTTTGTAGTTCGAGTGTAAGATACATGTATTATCTTTCGCACTTTTAACTGCCATCGGATTAAGTTGTAAAATAGTAAATCTATAATCTCTTTGGGTATTTGAAATAAAGAAACATTATATTTAAGAATCAAGAAACATTTTAAAACAAGAAATATTCAATTTAAAACTAAAACGAGAGTTCATAGAAATATCCAATCTTAAACGAGAGTTCATATAAATATTCAATCTAAAACGAGAGTTCATATAAAGCACTTTTCGAATTATGGTAAAAGTTCCCAATGTCACTTTTCTTCCGGTAATATTTGCTTAATTCATTTCTCTATAAACCTATACAATTTGCATAAACTGCATTTATATAAAAAAAAAATATAAAACAAAACAAAACATAATTTCATTTCTTCTGTTGAGGAACTTAAATAAACAGCAGTATCTCTTAGTAAAGACAGTACCTCTCGATACATTTGCAATGCCGAAAACATTGACTGAACTTTTGGAATTGACTGTTTTCTTAATTTATCTTTTTGATTCATATCAAGTATTTCTATAAATCAATATGACCTGCGTAAATCTGGCACAACGTAAAATATAATAACTGATTTTGTTTAAAATGAAATAAGATATTTTATTTCTTATGAAGCAAGAATCTTGCTATCTGATTGGTTAATAACCCGGGTGTAAATAATACCCCAGTTCACCCGGGGGTAAAAAATAATTGAAATGCAAAAATTACAAACAAATTAAAAATTTTGGCCAAAATTATAATTTTTTTTTCATCATAGTTTCCTAAAATAAAAAAAAATAAAAAAATAATATTTGACAGAGCCCATCAACATCGGTGTTGACAAATGTGAAGTGGGAGTTCCTCGTAAGAATTTTTCAATTTTATACCCCGGTGTAAAATTGAGTGAAGGGACGCTTCATAAGAAATAAATTCGTTATTTTGGTATAATCAGAAGTGTACGGAATCATTCTACACTGGTGTAAAATTCGGTACACCCTTGATCACAACTAGATAACTAATATTATCTTCGACTTATCGAAGGCAAAATCTTATGATGACAGGTTATGAAAAAGTTTATGATAAAAGAATGTAAATGCTCTTTTGTTCCGACGTTGGAAAGTTCCGGGCGGAAAGAACTAACTAGCCGAAAAGTTCCGGAGGAACTTATTAACTAGTTACTTTGTTCTTCCTCTGGTTTAAAAGTTCCACCGGAACAAAGTGACTAGTTGAAAAGTTCCAACGGAACATATCAACTAGTTAGAAAGTTCCTTTTTGCCAAATTAGTCAAAACCGGAACTAACAAACTAGCCCAAAAGTTCCAACGGAACTTATCATCCAGACAGAAAGTTCCATTTGGAGAATTGATGCAACGCAAAAGCGCAACTGCCAACATATTATATTTGAACCTTTCAAATGGAAACCAAGATACTGATTACAAAAGTCAAATTGAACTTATCAACTAGCCACAAAGTTCCTCTTTGGCAAATAAGTCAAAACCGGAACTAACAAACTAGCCCAAAAGTTCCAACGGAACTTATCAACCAGCCACAAAGTTCCATTTGGAGAATTGATGCAAAGAACCACATGAGGAGGGGGATATTCTTCCCTCTCTTGAGGGTACTATGAATACTAAAATTGCATGATAATGCAACTTATTCCGTTTTATGTGAGCTATGAAATACAACTTAAATTTTGCATATTTGTCCCCAAAGAAACCCGTTTCAGTGCGTTGGGTATTCTTGTAAATTAATGATTTGCTCTTATATATACTGATACTCATTCTTCCCCCTCTTTCTACAAAAAGGACGAAATATGGTATATTTGGAACGATGTAACTAGTTGTTCTGTTCCGCCAGAACTATTCAACTAGCTACATTGTTCCGGGACTTTTCAACTAGCTACTTTTTTCCGGAACTTTTCGACTGCACTCGGAATAAAACAACTAGTTGGAAAGTTCCATCGGAACGAAATAACTAGTTGAAAAGTTCCGCCGGAACAAAGTAACTGACGGAACATAGTGGCTGTTACAAGAACACTTGGCACAAAAGTGGGGTAAACATAAACTCCAATTTAGTCAGCAAGGACTTAGTTTATTGCTATTTTTTAGACAAAAGAGTGACTCAGAATATTAAAAATTTACAGATTGTATTACCAGGCAAATTAGAAATAAAATTAGCAAAGCAGACAAAAGTATCTAATACGGCACCTATTTTTATATCTTTCTAAATCTAATATCCCTCCCCTTACCGTTTGCAGAAGGTTTTGATATATCCCCCATACTACAACGAATGCCATGCTTCAAAGCCCCTATAATACAGACGTTACGTGCATGGGGAGTCTATCCTTTGCAACTAGATTCAGGGAAATATTTCGACGTTTTTTTAAGAACTACGTCCCGTCAACCATAGACTGGTACCCGGCCGTTATTGAAAATCTTGACAATATTTGTATATTCCGAAGGCATACTGAATATTTTACGGAGGGAACCAACCTACGTCAACCACGATTTGCAATGTCGCGACCAACAATAAACTTGTTGGAAAGTATCAAAGATCATGAACGTCAAAATGAGTGAAAAGTTACATGATCATATAGATAACAAGAATAAGGTACATAAAATTAAAACAGATGAAAGTCAGTGATCTCACATGCGTACAGGATGTAGTCTCGATGGTAGAACTTGGCTTTCTCATTGACCAGTTAAGAGAATGTAAACATTATAACACTCTGTCTTTGCACAACTGTGAACAAGAGAAACCGTGGCCAATCATTTAAGCATAAAATAGTAACTAAATAAATTCCGTTGTAAATACTTTCCTGAAAAAAACTCTGTTTCAAACAGAAAAAAGGCACTAGCATTGATTCTAAAATACTGATTCAACACAAGACACTGAACAATTTCATATTTTCATATTCATATTTTCATATTCATATTTTCATATTCATATTTTCATATTCCATTTACACGTTTACAATTAATAGTAATAGGTGCTCCATTTATATCATAAGTTCTAAACAAGTGAAAAGCTGGCAAGTCATCTGATGCTCCGGGAAAAGCACATTTATAGCGAGAAAATAAAAATAAACGCAATACTGTCTTTTATCCTGCGATCAGCAAACTATTGTCAAATATCAGGTACACACATAATTGTTTGCTTTATTTGTATTTTTTTTTTGTAAAAATAAAGTCTCCTGTTACTCCGCTTCCATATTGAGCAACAGGTAATGTGATTAATACTTTTTATGTGACAGTTAATTTTGGGGTCCTCTTCGCGGTCCGCGTTTAAACTATGTCGATTTCTTTGAAAAATCAGACAACCATTTGGATTTAAACAAATACACCCGAAAGTGCCGGGTGTAAATTGCAGGATAAAACTGCACTCTCTACGAAACAGGAGATAAGCTAGGCGAGCCTCCCTCGCTTTTCGTCCTGTTTCTAAAGCTCGTACAAATAAATTTTATATTTTCAGACAAAGTAGATATATATTGTATATATGTATTTCAATAGTTCAAAATACAAATATTCTTGGAGGGACACATACAACGTGTTCTAATATTGCTAATTTTGCACCTGTATAAACTCTGTTACATATTTCAATTCGGATGCTAAAGATGTCATCCAAAACAACATGACTATGATCAACTTCCAAGGGAGTATAAACAGTCGTGAATCTAGAAATAAGTCGTATTACCAATACTCAGAAACAATCTTTTAAGGGGGGGTGGGTCATAAACTTATAACGAATTGGGCAGGACTTCCCCTGACCCTGGCTTACCCGCCAGAAATTGGACACATGGCTAATGATATTGCTAAAATTTAAAAAGATGTAGTACATTTTAAGAGAAATCATCTTTCCTTAAACAGTTAGGCGAGGGTTCCCTAGACCCTGGCTAATTTGCAAGTCTAGATCTATTTCTTAAAATTAAAAAAAAACCAGTATTGTAAGATATTTCATCCAGAAATTATTATAATTCAAGATTCTTATTTAATCTGTATATATATAGCTGTCATACCATAAATGCTTCCTCCAGAACATGGATATATATACAGACACACCTTTTGGTCCTTGTTTTTAATCCTGTGATTCCTATGACCCCTTCTAATCTGCAGGTCTAGATACCTATGCCCATATTCATAAAAATTAAGACATATTTAAGAGATTTTATCTACAGACCAAGAGTTAAAAGGATTTCATCTATAGTACAAACCAAGATTTAGAAGAATTTAATACTATGTACATCTATCCTTAGTAACTGTAACATTGTCTTTTGATCAACTAAACTTAAATTGATATTTCTCCCTTTTTCCACTTCCAACTAAACTTGTATAAGTTTTATTAAAATCAAACAAATGTATCCTAAAACATCATCAAGAAATAAATTGCAGTTATTTTTTTTTCCAATTTTGTAGTCTACTTTTAGTATGTTACCTTGTCCTTTGACCTTTTGACCAGACAATCGATGCGATTCATTCCCATCTCATCTATACTGTGACAAATTTCTTTTTAAGTCGACAAAGGAAACGACTTTTTTCCGATTATTACCACTTTAAAAAACGGTCAAAATGATCATCTTTGATAGATCGTTTGACTCAAAAGTCAATAGACCTCTTCACCGTCAC